GAAAACTCGTTTAATATCATTTTCATGGAGTTTTTAGTGAGCAATAGTGATCGTACGAAATAAATGCCACTCTTGTTGAGGACAAACTAGAATATTTAACTATGCGTATTGTTGTCCACAAACTGACCTCGATTTCTCTTGATAAATAAAATAGAAAATATAATTTAATAAAATCTGGAAACAATAAAAGACAAAAGGCAAATATTTTCAGCTCTCGAATAATTTCGAAAAACAAAGCATACACTTGCAATGCAAGTAAAATTGTGAAAAACAGAACCATTTTTTTTTAATTTGTTGCTGTCCTCAGAACCTTCATACATGATATAATGCCGAATAATCACATTGGAAAGTTGCGGTGTATAACTGTTTACGGCTACTATGGCGGATATAAAGAAATTTCTTTCACTGTAGGAAGGGTATGGGTCGATGAAAGAGGGTGGGTGTGAGATGAATGTAGCTCTTCTTCGACCTTGATACCCACACCCATAGAGCAACACTCACCCACATCCACACCTACCTTGAAATATGACTATTCCTGAAAGAAAGTAAGATGGGTGCGTATAATGTTACTTGATTTTTATCACGGATAAAAGAATAAATTCTTTTCTTTTGTTTCCTTTCCATGAAAACTAATTAGCAAAATTTTTTAAAATGAATGTCATTATCCGAGTATTAGGTTTTCTGATTTGAGTATATGAAAGTCATGCAATCAAATATATTTCTTTTGCATATTTTCAAACTATTGAATAAATAAAGAAATAGAAAAAAATGATAGTTTGCGGAAAGTTTTATCAACTTCGTACTTTACGAGAACAAACGTAGTAAAAATCATATTTATTTTTTTTCATATACAACTGATATTGATGTATCAGAGATGTCCAACACGGCAGAAAATCAGCAGCGGCTACCGCGATGATATAAATAATGTAATCTATAAAACTTCCTTTTGTATTGGTTGAACGATGCAATAGTCATACACATGTGCTGAGAGAAAGAGACTCTTTTAAGTCTGAAATATCTGTAATGTTTGAGATAAAAAGAATTGAATTATTTATATCATTGTTTGTACGACTACATTTGATCGTCTGTTTATTCTTTTCATTATTGATGTTCAAACTAAACCAGTAAATTTAAATAAAGCAATTATAACAAATACTAATGATATTTCGATAAATGTCACAGCAATACGAAAATGATATTGTGGTGTTGAAGTAAAAAATCCCATATATACAAATATTGTATAAGGTACACCAAGTGTTAAGAAAATTGATACAAGTATAAAAATTCGAAAAACCAATTTTAATTGTTTCTTTGCACGTAATAAAATATTTACTAATGTAACACATTTATTCATTTCTGTAACATATCGAATTAATTTCAAATAAATAAATACAATACCATTTATTGGTAATATATAAATACAAAATAGATTATAAATTGCTAACAAAGAAAAATGAAGTGGCAGTTGACATATTTGATCATCAACAGAATATTTGATCGCATTAGTAGCTATTTGTGGACATGCATAAATAAAAGCAGCGATCCATGTTAAAATAATGAGAGAAAATTGAAATTTTGCTGATTGCCAAAATAAACGAGTTGGATAAATAACTATCAAATAACTGTGAATCGCTTGTAAGAAATAAGAATACATTGTTGAAAACAAGTAACATAACTCATATAACCTCGAAAGTTACAAAATAAATCTTGATAATAAATTTGTTGAAGATCGTTATAAAGTGTAGACATTGTCACCCAAAATAAAATAAGTGTAAATATAAAACCAGCAAAACATGAATTAGTAACAAGTATCATAGGAATAGTATGACATGTTTTTGTCGATTAAAACAATACATAAAAATAATAATGACATTGAAATGGATAGAATAATACATATAAGTACTAGAATATCGACAAGAATAAAGCATGATTGGTTAATTAAGATTGAAGTATTAGAATCTTTTAATAGAGATACAAGGAGGGTTGCTGTGTTCATCGTTGAAATGATGATAAAGAAAGAAAGAAAAAAAATATACAATGAAGAATTATCAATGTGAAAGATTTTTTTTTAAATCAACAACTATTTTAGTTTAGATATTACGCATAATGAAAAATAGACTTTTTTATTGCGGAATAATACAAATCTAATATTATCTTTCAGTGGAAAATTTTGTTTTTGTATATTTATAGAAGATTGCATTTTATTAAAAAAAAGAATAACAATTATGCTTTGAAGAGATAGCGTACCCAAGTCTTGTCAATAAAAAATTTAAGCTTACATAGTAGTACATGAATTTAAATAAGAAGCAAGATAATGTATCATGGGAAATTCGTTGTTGACTGTCCAGTCATCGATATTTACTAATTTGAAATATTCTAATTGACTAGAATTAAATAATTATATACTCATTATCTTCTGTCATGCTTTCCTTCCATAGATATATCTTTCAGATCATAGTTCACCGTACTATAATAGAAATCCGTAAATAAAATATATTTTGACTGATCTTTATTACATTTTTTTATCAAATATACACATACTTCAACTAAAAGATTCTAATTATAAATCAATGAAAACAATATACTTGGTAATATGCACATGGATATAGTTATTTTACTAAAACATTCATTTCATACCTAGTCAGTTTCTAACACTTTTTAGAAATAACTCCATATATTCTAATATTTAGTTAGACATAGAAAGCATATAGTTTATTAAGAAAATCACTCTTGACATGCACAACATCAAATATTTAATATTAAAAAACAATAAAATTGCAGTAAATTCAATCATATGAGAATAAAATGATTTTTCATAAAAATTCAAAATATATTATGAACCTTAGAAGAAAAAAAAGATTTGTCAGTTAAATTGTTACGAATTAGTTGATTGTTTTGCTTATTGTGCCCAAATAAAATAAAATAAGCAATGCAGGCATAGTATTGTTAGTTGAATAAATAAAGCGATTATAAAATTTGTAGCAGGTTCAGTTCATTGACTAGACAAAAAGCAAATGAATTATAAATATATTGAAAGCATGAGAAAGAGATTAATGAATGAATGAATAAAATGAAAAATTAATTGTTTATAAAAATCATAATGAAACAAAATAATAATACTAATAAATTTGAATTTAAATTACGGGTTGCAAATGAATAAGTTGTTGATAGAGAGCTTGTAGCGCTTGTTGATGATAATTTTGTTATTGTATTAGTTGAACTATTCTTTTGTGATGTTGTGACAACTGTTGACGTTGAAACTGTTGTTGATGGTGTAACTATTGGTGATGTTGAAACTGTTGCTGATGATGTACCTATTGCTGACGCTGAAACTGTTGTTGATGGTGTGGCTATTGGTGATGTTGAAACTGTTGTTGATGGTATGATTATTGGTGACGTTGAAACGGTTATTGATGGTGTTATTATTGGTGACTTTGAAACTGTGGCTGATACTGTAACTGAATTTGCGATTGATGTCGAAGCTGATAGTATAGTTGTTGGGTTATCTAATAGTGAAAGAAGATAGAATATAATATTTATTTAAAAAACAGTTGATACATTAGAGAGAACACATAACAATATGTGGCGTTTGATAGATATTGCATAGATAATATTTTTAAACAAGTCGTCTTAATAGTTTTTATTTAAATACGATAAATATCTTTAATTATCGATCTTGTGTAAAAGTATTCCAAGATTTTTAATTAACTATTTGATTATGATTTATTTATCTATGTGAATACTTTAAATTTTTCAATATAATAACAAATATATGAAATATTGTTAGAAAAGAGAAAATGGATAATTTCGTTTGTGTTTATGTCCATTACAATTTTAACATAGTTACAATTTTACTTCTCTTTACTTTTTAGTCGAGTTCTTAATAAAATCTAATATTAGAATGGAGAATAAAATTTTTGTAACAAAGATTTTTCATAGAATTCTACCTTATCTAAAATATCCTAAATCGAATTTTTATTGGAGTTGATAATCTAATTCTTATGTTTTCTCATACTATATTTTTATACAAAATGTAGGAATTTGTACTCAATTGAAGTTTAAGTTAACCCTTTCAGTCCCGTAGTATCAGAAAAGCTACACATGTTGAATAATTCGATTTCTATGAAATAATATGCATTCTTGTGCACCAAGATACTGATGAATTTTATGAAACCTTGTGAGCTGAATACCTATCATAAGTATTGTCTTCATACATCTTATTTTCACTTGTTTTCTCTTTTGGTGTGTTTAAACTAAACGTTAACTAAAACGTTTCAGAAATAATAATTTCGGTCTGAAAGGGTTAAGTTAATTGAACAACTGTCATTGCATTGTCGAGAATAATATTAAATAGAATATAAGAAAGTAAAAACTTCTTATTGAAATACTTTTTTTTTATTATAAAAATATTCAAGTGAAATTTTCAACATAGAAAGAAAAGAATGTTTAAGTTAAATATTAGGAGTGCCTTATTACCATTACTTTATTACTTCTTTGACTTTTCTTCACTTTACTATAGATCATAAGACATACAAGTTACTAAGGATGTATAATAAATACACATCGTGATTCGTATTTCTTGTGATGCACGGTAAAGTAAAAAAAGAAAAAGTAATGAAGTAATGATAATAAGGCACACCAATTAAATATTTATAACACAAGCTTTCCGAATTCCATCTGTTCAGTCAGTTAGAAGAAATACACAGATTTTTGATTTACTAAAAATGAATGTATCTTGTTAATAATATAAGAAACAATCGATAAATAAATTCGAATACGGTAATCCTGTTTATCTCATATAAAATTCAACTTTAATCTTCATTACTCGAAATATTCTACAAACATGTTTATCTTTATAGTTCCCTTTTCTGAAAGAAAGGGTTATAGGCTCGTTAAATAGGGTCGTTAAAATGCTTAAAGTTTGTTTGTCCAAACAGCCAATCAGATTGCAGCATTTTATAAGTCAATGAAAACTTATAGCTGGTCATCAGAAAATGATTGACCAAAGGTAATCGGGGTCGGGGAATCCGAATCTGATGTTAGTTTTTCAAAATTTTTTTAGGTATCAGTTTTTTAAACAAAGAACCACTTTTTTTACGAAAAAACTTTTTTTTATAAAGTTTGACCGAAGGGTTTCCAAAATCGAGGAACTCGAATCTGACGTTAGTTTTTCAAAATGTTTTTGAGAAACACTTTTTTTTAAACAAAGGATCATCTTTTTTAGCAAAAAACGTTTTCTTAAGGGTTGGTCGAATAGTAGTTGAGGTCGAGGAACTCACATTTGATGTTAGTTTTTGCAAACTATACAAGTAAAAAGCTTAATAGTATTGTAGAACACGTTTTCTACAAGAAAGAGCTGAGCGAGTCTCTGGACAAGCATTACTTGTTAATTATAATCATAGAAAATTTTCTTTCAGAAAAAGGTCAGCGAATCCATCAGATGAGCGCTACCTTGTTCCTATACGTTTTACAGATATCAACGCTATATCCATCATTCTATCTAATAGATTATATTCATATCATAAAAATAGGAGTATTCTATTTTTAAGTGTATGTAACATTATAACAGAATCATCTTATAGAAGATATGCATATACATCAATTGTATTTTATAATATATATTTTTTTATCATAGGATCCTGTTAATCTTAATTAGATGTTTCAAATTATAAACAAAACGTCAACTAAATACTATATACTGGAATTATTTTTATAACTTTTCAAATGAATATATATCATGAAAAATATGCATTACTTCATTCTATTATTTTCTATTCATTTCGCATTGTTAAAATACGTTGCTATAAACGCTTAGCTGCATCCTATTACTATAGTTTTATGCAATACTTTTACATGTTAAAACAATTTTGTTTTTCTAAACCACTTAACAGTTACTCTTTAATTAAAATAAATAAACTAAAGTCATGTTTGATACCTATATTCTATATGCGATAAAAGTTAACACATCTGATGTTTATATTTTTTATTTTTCATATAAACTTTTATTTCTAGTTACTTATTCTTTTCAAATAATTTTCTACTCACTTGCTGATGTTATAAGACTATTGGTAGTAAGTGGAACAGTAATTGTTGTGTCTATAACAAAAAATACATGATCATATAATTTAGATATTTTTTTTTTGATTCAATGTATTCCATCTTACTTTGTAATGTAGCAGCAACTGATGTTGAGTTGGTTAATACTGATGCTGTTGATGATGATGACGTCATATTTGGTGCTAGAAGACATAAAATAAAAAAAAATATGATTAAGCAAAATAAGTTGTGAGTAAAAACCTTCTTTTCTTTTTAGATGATATTCAATAATAACAAAGTTTTAACTAAATGTTGTTTTTTATCTGTTCAGATTATAGAGTATATCAAATTGTCTTTAAAATAACAAATTTTTCTGTTTTGAAAAAAATGAACCTCAAGAAAAATAATATAAACTCTCCTGTTTTACTATTAAGTTATTATAGTGTGCATCTGTTATATAGATTTACATGGACATGGCTGTATTTTCTCGAGGATTCAATTTAAAACAGAAATAGTTGTTGTTGTTTTATAGATAATTCAATATGCTCCATAATACGAGCGGATAAAAACAACAGTTAGTAAAAAGCCTATTATTTTTGAAAATAGTTTTCCAGAAAACCATCCCATGAAGATCTAAGATGACTTTTCATACTCATATTTGAAATCTGCATAGTGAATAATCTTTAATTCAATAGCTTATATTAAAAAATTTGATTGGACAGTTGGCAACGTCCTCTCGTTAGACGTATCTATACACGTTAAATATATTTTATAAAAACGAATTACACTTACAGCAAAGAACAGAAAATCTTTGAATCCGATTGTTAAAGTGATCATTGACAATAAGTGCTCCAGTTGAATCAAGTCTGACACTGTAAGGATTATATAGTTGAGATGGTAATACTCCAGGAATACCTAAACCAGCAATGACGATACCCGATGTAGATCCTAATAACCATAAAACGATTCGATTATTTCCAGAGTCCACAATGTACAATGATTTGTTCGTGTCCATAGTCAAAGTATATGGGTAACTAAGTTGATTAAGTGCACTACCAGATACACCTGATTGTCCGGCTATTGTTGTTCCATTGCTTGCTCCATAAAGCCATTTTTGGATTCTATGATTATTTTTGTCTGCAACATAAAATGTATTCGAATCAGATGTGTCAACGAATAATCCGATTGGATTATTAAATTGATTAGCTTGTATACCACAACCATTTCCTCCGGCAACCAGTATAGCACTCAATGGACTGATCCATTTCACAACCCAACAATTGTAAGGATCAAGTATCCAAATATAGGATGTATTTGGTTCAACGAATAAGTCCCAAGCAGTACTTAGTAGGTTGTGAGAATTGCCATATCCGTTATTACTGATTACAAGTATGCCCGTTGATGCTCCTGGAGCCCATTTTGTAACACGAGTGTTTCCCGCGTCAAGTATATAGATATTACCACTCACATCTATGTTAACAGCGGTGACTAAATTGAAGAAAACATTGATTATATATCAATTATTTTAAATTATTTACCGTCGGAGAACTGATTGAGACCTGCGCCACTGGTGGTGTTAATGATTGTTGTTCCTAATTGACTACCTGGATAAAAAATTTGCATACGAAAGTATGGCTTTTTATAATCCATGACATAAATCGAATCATTTGTATCAACCGCGATTACTGATGGATAATATAACAATGTTGAAGTATAACCTGCAACACCTATAGGTGAACCAGCAATTGTTGTTGCATTCAATGCCCAAACAGTCGTTGCACAATTTGAAGTCGAAATAGGCACTAATAAAAACAAAAATATAGTACAATATGTGTTTTATGAGTTTATTATATATGCAATAATAAGTGAGAAAAAGTGTTGATATTAAGAATTGAATTTCTATTTTGTAATTCAATAAAAAAACATTTCTTAAACTACACCTATCTGATTTTTAGTCTCCAAGTTATATTACTTCTTGTTGAATTTTTTTTCCATACGAAAGTTTTTATGCCTTATTGTTCGATATGGATTTATTCAATCGTAAACCTAGAAGTTTCCTATATGCGTACTTTTGAATTCTACAGTTATTCGATTTAAATTGAATCATTTGATTATTTTAAATGATCTAATAGAGCCAATTGTAATATCTCATTTTCATTTCAATATCTTATTAATGTATTATTTAGAATTTAAGAAATGAGATCTATTATTACTTAAATGTTTAAGATTAATATATGAAATTTTTATTATTCTTATAAGATCGATAATTATTTTCATAGAAAAATATTCTTTCTTATCTACCTTTAGATTAAAAAAATATTATTTATTTATGTTAAATATTATCTCAAAATCAGTAAAAAATTATAACGATTAATATTAAAATGAATATCTATTTTGCTTAAAATAATATGATACTTACTTGTCGTAGTTACTACTGATGAAACAGTTGTAGTTGATATATTTATCGCTATAATAAAAAAGAATATCGATATATTAAAATCAAATTATTAATCTTAGATAAATCTTACGACAAGAAACAGCAAATTTTTGTACCCGATGATTACTAGAATCAGCAACAAAAAGCGATCCATTCGAATCGAAGCTAACTCTAGATGGGTAATTAAGTAAACTTGACGATGATCCTGTGGTTTGTGTCGTTCCTGCAATGTCCATTCCAAAACTTGCACCTACTTTCCATTGGAGAATTCGGCTGTTGCTCACGTCTGTAATATACATATTCTGGTAACTATCGACAACTATTGCTAATGGATTCCACAACTGATTGAGTCCAGCACCACGGTAACCTGTTATTCCAGCAACAGTTTCTCCACTAGTTGCACCTGGAAGCCACATTTGTACCCTATGGTTTCCACTATCTACCACATAAAGTGTATTTCCAGCAGCTGTATCAACGAATAATCCTTTTGGATTAATAAATTGGTTGGAGTTCGAACCATAACTACCGCAGACTGTTAATGCTGTTGATGAATTTACCCATTTTACAATTCTGCTATTGTTTGTATCAGTAATCCAAATAAATAATGATTGAGGTTCAATAAACATTCCACCAGGTTGACCCATAATGTCCACGTGTCCATCAAAATAATCATTAAAAGGACCACCACCAGCTACAAGAATTCCGCTCGCAGATCCTGGTGTCCATTTTGTTACACGTGATAAAGTCTGATCTAGTATATAGATGTTACCATTAGCATCCATACCCATATCAATCACTAGAACAAATCGAAAAACCGCAATGAAAATATCAATAAAAGAATTGTATACTTACTCGCCGAGAATTGATTCAATCCAGTACCAGAGCTACCGTTGATTCTTAATATACCTGTAGTGGAATTTGCTGGGAATTGTAGCACACGATAATTTCCAGTATCAGCCACATAAATATTACTGTTATTGTCGACAATAATGGTAACTGGGGTTTTAACTCGTATCTGTGTGGAATCAACTACTGTTGTTGCATTCAATGCCCAAACAGCCGTTGGACAAATAGAGAGAGTCGACATTTTATCAATTAAACATCTACCAAAAATTATTCTTATTATGTAATCTAATAAAATAAATATAATATTTCTTACGCAATAATAATAATAATAATTGATTTAATCGAAAGATATTTCAAATATTTATCAGCCATGATGATTAATATCTAAATAAAATAGTATATATATGATGAACAATAACAATAATTATATACTAAAAATAATCCAGAAATAAATTTGCTTATTGTTATATATTATTTTATAAAAGTAAAAGAGGAAATGTTAGTAGAATTGAATTATGAGACAAGTAGAAAATATATTATTTATTATTGTTTGATGATTAAAAGTCTATAAACTATATGTAACTCAAGTTTTGAATGTATATAAATAAATAAATCTTTTATTTAATACTAACTCTCACATTAATACTATGATAATATTCTTATGCATTTTCAAACAATCCAAATTTGACCTTATCAATCTTGATTAAGTGAAAATATGTAATTTAATTATATTCACATTTAATACTATAAAAATATTTATTAGAACAAATAAAATTTTACAGAATCAGATAGTATATGACTATTATAGAAGATTTTTTTTTATTTAGTTAGTCATCAGAAAAGAAAAAGAAGGAGAAGAAAGTTTTTTGTTTTATTTCAAAAATAAATTATAACGATCCCTTGCGTCTTATTGTGTATAAATCAATAGTCAATATAGTTTTCTCTTTTATAATTATCTTATATTTTATGCTTTTTCAATGGACAATGAATATTAATTATATTCCGAGAGAAAGTCATATGGATCTAATAAAAATGTGTATTATATAGGAACTTATTTGTATTACAACAAACGACTATATCAAATCTAAAAAATATTGAGATTATGTTTTACATTAGAGATGTACAGGGTACCCTTACCCTGTCCTACCCTACCCTATCCTGCAGGGTAGGGTAAGGTCAGGTAAGAGAGTCGTAGGGTAGGGTAGGGTCAGGGTAAGAGAGTCGTA